CAGCCACTCCACGGGATAAAGATGAGGCTTTCTGGCTTTCTGCTCCTGTAAAGTTTTATAGCCTTGGAAACCCTACACAGGGTCGCTATGAGTCGGAACCAACTCCACAGCAAATAACCACCAACAACCATGGGTTTCTAGAAGACTGTATACCAACCAATATAAAATATTTAAGTGCATGTGATTTGGTGGTTAATTTCCCTTGATTATGAATCTTCTAAACTCAAACTTGGAGTCTTAGTGTGATGCTGCAGGAGAATGCACTGGATTGCAGGTTAGTTTGAACCACAAGGTCAGTGACTCAAATTTACTAGTTGCTCCTTGGAAACCCTACACAGGATCACTATGAGTCGGAACCAACATGTCAGCACTTAACAACAGCAATTGCTCAAACTTAACATTTTGTTCAGAAATTGATAAATAACTCTTTAAATAAGAATAGTAATTATGGTAGACAAGCACCTTTACCCAACCCAAATAAATTTAACTAGATGTTTTGTGTGTGTTTTTTTTTCTTTTTAGTCTTCTGGTTAATATTAACAGAAATACAGTTTTCAGCAAAGACATAGAGTATAGACTTAAGATACTAACACAAGTTTTTATAAGAGATTACAAAAGTCTTACTACTTTGCACAATGAGCACATCTATAAAGTTCAAAAATTCATTTACAGATTTAGATTTTCATTTCTGGAAATTATGCTTGGAGTTACTCATTAATAAATCTGCATTACTTAGTAAGCCTTTAGAAAAACCTTTATCTTCTGAATTTGAAATTATTTACCCATCACCCTCATATCAATGTTGCTATTTTGATGCTAAACACAGGTAATATTAAGACTGACTGTTCAGATTTTAGGAGGAGAGTGTTTGTTTGCTCTTATATATATTTGGAAGGTTGTCTGCTTCTGGAGGGGCTTTGTAGTTCTTGAGATTGTGTATGAAATAGAACATAGGTTACTCATGCCATCGTAGTTTTAGACAATTATCCCATAATGTGTTATATCTAATTAAAATTCATATCGAACAAGAACTGATCTCCCAGAGAGTTTCAGAAAAGTTTCATTTTGTAAGTGTGATATCTATGTCAAAAAATCACAAAGGGATCATTTCTCCAAAAGCCAAGTATTACTCAGAACCCAATGAGAGTAAGCTTTCCTTAGGGAACAGTGATCATCGTATTGACTTAAAAAAATAGAATTAAGGGTTTCTATTTTAACTATTCTGTTGCTTTTACTATTTGGATTGTTGTTATTGCTAAATGCCGTTGAGTCAATTCAAACTCAT